GCAGATAGCAGTCTGCTCAGGAAACTAGTTATTAAGGTCCCTTGGGAAACTGCTTTTCAAGGCACTTGTGCCCATCAGTACCAGTCACTTTTTAACTAGCACCTCTTAAGAGCCCACTGGCAAATGTTCAAATTTTCAAGAAGGGCAAGAAAGACAACCCTGGCAATTACAAGCCTGTCAGTCTCACTTCAGCACCTAGTAAAAACAATGGAAAAAATTATGCTGGGAGGTATTGAAAAACACCTGAAAGACAACACAGTCATCAGTCACAGACAACACAGGTTCATGAGGGGAAAGTCCTATTTAACTAAATTAATCCCCTTTTATGACAAGATCACCCACCTAGTTGACCAAAGGAAGCCAGCTGATTTTTTTTTTTTGGGGGGGTGGGATCAGTAAAGATTTGATACTGCTTCTCATAGTACCTCTCTAGCTTACACCCAAAAAACATTATGTGAAGGGTGAGCAATTTGGGCCTGACAGGTCAGGCGCAAATGAAGTTACAAAAAGCTGGCAGTCAATCATTACCATGGCTCCCCAGGTCTTCATTTTAAGGCTGATTCTCTTGAATGTTTTCATATATGACTTGAGTGCAGGACCAGAAAGCGTTTTGAGTAAATTTGGTGATTATACTAAATTGGAGGAGCTGTTAACTCCACTGAGGGTGGAGAAAGCCTTGCAGAGAGATCTAGACAGATTAGAGAGCTGGGAAGAAGCAATTCTGACTGTATAGAGAGACTAGGAGCTGAAAGGATTAATAGGAGCCCTGCTGAAAGAAATCTGGGGGATGTTGGTTGACAGCAAGTAAAACATGAGTGAACATAGTGTCCAAGCAGCCAGGAAGAACAAGTGTATCCTGAGGCACATAAAGCATGTCACGGCTAGCTGGTCAAGGGAAGTTATTGCTATACTGCATTGGTGCGGCCTCACCTTGAGTACTGTGGGCAGTTCTGGGTGCCACAGCGCAAAAAAAGACTTAGTATTAAAGAGCGCACAACAGAGTGCTACAAATCTGGTCAAGGTTCTACAGGGGAAGTATGAGGAACAGCTCAAGTCCCTTGGTTTGTTCAGTCGAGAAAAGAGGCTGAGGAGAACACTCATTACAGCCTATGGCTTCTTTACATAAGGGAGCAGAAGAGCAGGCACCGATGTCCTCTCTTAGGTAATGGGCAATAGGACTCGAGGGAACAGTATGAAACTGCTATAAGGCAGGATAGGGTTGGTTATCAGTCAATGGTTCTTCACTGAGAGAGTTAGTGGCACAGGAATAGGTTTCCCAGGGTAGTGGTCACAATACCATGCTTTCCAAGTATTTTTCTGTAACAGTAATTCTGAAATACATTGAATACATGGATAAAAATACTGGGGTGTTTTATGAGACCAATTTATAACCACTGTCAGTACATGGTAATATTTTTCTAATTCGTCTTCATATTCTCACAGTATCCAACAGAATATAAAATTCACTTCCTTTAAGTAGAAACAAAAAAAATTGTAAAGAAAGGTATTGTCAGTTCTTTACTAAAATTATCTCAGCAAGCAAAAAGAGATGCAATGACATACAGAAAGCAAGATAGTTAACTGTGGCTAAAAAAAGAAAAAAAAAAAAAAAAACCCACAATATTTTAGAATGTTGGGCATAGTTTAATATCAACGTACTATTCAGATTTACTTTTAGTAACTCCATACATTATATTCCATTTGTTCTTAAATTTTGTAGCAGAGATTTACTGCTACACTAGATCTGACCTGAGAATGAGAAAGCAGTCAATTCAGTCTAAGTACCGGCTAATAAATTTTGCATCAGATGAAGCCTGGCATTTGGATCAAGTAGAAATACAAAACCCGTGAGCTATGAATGCCAAGTGAGGAACTGTGGAATAGTAATGTTTGCAGTCATCCATTTGAAATCCAGTTTAAACTCCAACAACTCTGTAGAGAGAGTTCTTTTAAGCTGTCTGGTTACAAAGCATACATGAAGAAAGGTTGCCTTTCAAAGCAACACCTTTAAAGAATGGCTTTCTAAAAACTACATTTTTTGTCTTAAAGGAGATATAACTTCATTCACTGTGCTGTGTCAGCAGATGAAGTGAAAAAACTTATTTTCTTTTTGAAAAGTATATGATCGAGTATAATAATTGGTTCGCTTTGGTAGAAAAATACCTGGCATACGGAAAAATTCACACATTACCAGAAGATGGTAAAATATTTCAAATATTCAGAGGTGTAAGAACTATTGTCAAGCTTTTGACGTATCTTAGCAGAAAGTAGAAAAGTTCCTATTCATCTTAAAATACCACATTCAGAAAGGACTCCTCAATTTTTATGAGAGCTTGTAATGTTAGAATGCTCTTTCATCCACTGAAGGACTGAATGTTTCAGATTGACTGACTAGTGAATATCCAGTGCAGATACTGGATAACAAATATATGAGCGCTGCTCTGAAAGTAATGCCTGCTATTTTATTGTGGTGGCCCACAACATCAGAGGATGTTGGTGGAATGGCAGTAGAAGTTGAACCTTCCCACCAATACAGTTACATTTTGTTGCTGCGCAACAGATGGCAAAGGGACGATCTGACAAAATGCCACAACTCAATACCAGTTTCTAGATCATGGAGTACACAGCCAATCCTAGCTGGACTGTCCTGCCACATCCACCATACAGTCCAGATTTGGCACCTTCTCACTTCCATCTGTTTGGGATTACGAAAGATGGACTGAGCAAACAAAATTTTTCTAGCAGGTATGCCATCATAGCAGCTGTGAAACAGTGAGCCATCTCTGCTGGTGCAGATTTTGATTGCAGCACACAGGCTCTTGTTCACCATCAATTAAAATGCGTAGCTAATTGTGGTGATTGTGTTAAAAAAATAGGGTAAATGCTCAGCTACAGAACACTGTCAGAATGTGTTATTGTGCTCTTTGTTGCAGTTTCCATGGAAAAAAAATAAATAAATATGAGGCATTACTTGTAGAGCAACATGTTTTCTACTTTGGGAAAAATCTTCAACAAACTAAGAACTCAAGCATGCATTGGACTTGGAGTTTTAGCCAAGAATCTAGAAGTCTGTTCTATTTTTTATTACAGAAAAAATAACTCCCTCCAAACTATTTATTTTAAACAAGTTTATTTCCTGAAGAATTTAATCTCAAAGCACCTACTGAAATTTAGAATAAATTTACACGTATAAATTTCTAGATGTCTGCAGCTGAAATATGCACAAGATGTAATGACAGTATTTCCAACTATATGAATCGTACTTTCATCCATATAAAATCAATGTATGAAAAAAACAACAGGCCCCAAATCTTAATGAAGATCTACTTTCCAGCTTATCTCAAATTTCATGTCAGTAAAGAACTTGACAAATAGGCAGAACTTGAGTTTTCAAATATGAAGAATCATCACACAAACCTGCTTTCTGAAAAATAAATCAGAAAAGTAAGGAGTTACTGCTTTTATTATTTGGTAAAAAAAAAAAAAAAGTAAAATACTTTGGCTCAATAAACTAAACTTTATTCATCTAGATATAATAACCAAGACTAGCAGAAAAAAGTCTTGGGAGCATTTCAATTTACACTCCCTTTCATAAAGAGGGCAGATAAGAACACATTAAGAGCAGGAGGAGGATGAACAGTTGTCAAATCAGTAATCAAGAGAAAAAGAACACCCTCATGAAATGCCGAATAATGACCCGGAAACTAAAATAAGGCACTTGAGCTGAAGCATCAATCATCCAGATAGGGGAAAGTAATATTTAGATGACTCTTGTACACAGAGGATGAACAAAGCACAATGAAAATGGCTTCAGTAGCTCATAACACATCTAACAGCAGCTGGATGGTATCTCTGGGTAAATACATCTCAGCAGAAAAGACCCTACAAGAACAGAGATTACCTCAGAAAAGAGAACGAGATGTTTGACAGAGAAAGCACAATGCAAACACTTTAAAATGTCTGTACACATACGCAAGCAAAACAAGGGATGAGAGTTCAATTAAGGATGCAAATTAATAGATACTTTGATTTAAAGGTTAAGGCAGACCCTGACTGCTGGCACAATGCTTTGAACAAGTTGTATGACATGATATGAAGTATAAAAAATGACCTTTCATTAGATAGGAGCTCATGGAGAGAACTCCACAGAGAAGCGAGGTAACCTCCTAGAATTTCTTGAGTCACACAAAACACAGTAGTAACAAAAGTAAAAATGTGTGGTAGAGATCGTGCCATTAACACATACATGCATGAAATAATAGAGTTGCAGAATTGAAGATGTACTATACATTTTGCCTTTTGTTGAAAGGGGCGTAAACAAGCTGTACTTTCACGCTTCAACACTGCCTTCATCTTCTTATGTCTAATTCTTAATTGAAATTAAGCAAAGCAACCATATTCAGTTGTTGACAGACACTTTAATCATGCTATTTGGTCACATGAACCAGATCTTCAATTGCTGATCCTGTGAAAAAGTGTTCACTAATAGTTTCAACGCGCAGTCTTATGATTTACGAAGACAAATATCAGAATGAAAGTAATAGGTGTGTGCAAGTTTGTGCATAGTGAAAAAACAGAGATAGGAAAGGAGGCTACTTCAACTGAAAACATTTAGATTGTTCATTCATTATTTGTTGGATGTAATACATTTAAAGTGAGGAGTGGTTTGTAAAATAGGAGGTAACAGCCTTGCTTACAAGTTCACACAGATGGGTCATTCCAAATACCAGTTCTAGCATCTCAGTGCTGCGATAACATAGCTAATTATAAAAGTTACGGCATTCCTCCCACTTTTAAAGAGATGAAGAATAAGTAGTCAGAGTAAGCAGTCACAAAATGAAGTCATGTGAAACAGCATTCGCATTTTCCAATTTAAATTGAAACAAATCCATTTTTTGTTTCATTAGAACTCCCCTACAGCACTAGCATGGTACAACAGAAAACTAACATCACCTGGCAAAGATTACTTAAGAATGAAACAGTTCTGACTTCAAACATACCTTGCCTTGGAAACTCATCCGACTCCCTGTGAACCAGGTCTGAAACTCGGTTTCCATAGTGCATCCTCGTGTCATGATCATATGCTTTCAGAGTCTCACTTGAGCTGTAGGACTTCTGAGTTGGTACTCTGCAGTCTTCACTGTCCAGTGAAGAACTAGTGTAGCGACATTCCTTCCCACACCGTCCCCTTGTCAAAGAGCGGTGTCTTCGATCTTTTATATCCATTATTCTGCGTCAGGTCAAATGTTTTCAGAAAAGCCACTCTTATGGTAGGGATCAATCACTATCACCTAAAAAAAAAAAAGAAAGAACAGATAAAAGTGAATGCTAGCACTCGGACATGTTGTTTTACTCTACATTCCTTGACACATCACTGTAAAAAAATAAAATAAAATAAAATAAATGCTGCCCAGCTTGAGAGAAAATATCCTCACCATATAAACTAGAAATTGAAATAATTTACCTAGATATGATGGTAGGAAAAAAAATAATAAGAAATTAAATTCAGTATCAGAATTGCATTTTATCTAAATGATCATCTCACTGAAGACCTTAAAATACAATGATAAATTAGAACTGCTTACTTTTCTGATTTCCAAATGAGCAGTGATAACAATACGGAACTGACAACATAGTATTTGCTCCTGTTATGCAATAATAGAAAGATAAGCACACTCAGATCATTTAAGTATTTCTTCCTGCAGAACTGCTTACAATTACACACGCAGGAAAGTTACAAATTGAAGAGTATTCCCATTCAGTATTAACACATAACAATTGCATACATTATCCTTTAACAACGCATTCGCAAGCAGAAACTGGTTTTACTGTCCTTGGTTAAAAAGAACTAAGGCCCTATTCTGAAAAACAGGTTGGATAGGGTATCTCCAGAGACCCTTCCCAACCTCAACATTTTGGCATTTCTATGACTCTCTGAACACGCTGTGTGAAGTGGCCGCTCTCATGACCCACAGAACGTGATCATCTCCACTGTCCCTCAGGATGACCACTTACCCACCTCAGCAGTTGGAGTTCTTTGAAATTCTACAAATATTTCTTGCTCAATGGACCAGAAAGAGAGATTCTTGTAGTCTACTTAATTAGGACATCCTTACTGGGGCACAGATGCTTTAATATATGCACAGTTAGCATGCAAGGACTGCAAATGAAAGATGCTGAAGAAAGCAAGAGATACACTAACCGTGAGCACCCTACCCACCAGGGTACTAATTATTTTGAGTTGGTATTTGTATCAGTACCTTTCTCTTGTGGCATCCTAAGCTCAGGTCTGTACTAGTTCTTAGAAACCCTCAAGACAAAACCTTTGGCTGGAAATGGAATCTTTGCCCACAAAAATACCCACAAGAGCTAACAACAAGAACAAAAGAACAAAACACATGCTCTTCTACGTGTGGTTATGGAAGTGAAGAATTAGCTTTGGCACGTGCAGCCGGGACAGCTGAAGACATTTCCTTCCCCATTGTCCCTTCGGCACAGGCACCAGCGCCTCTGCTTCAGCTGCCCTAGCACTTCAGGGGCATGGCTCCCTCTGACACAAAGGTTACCAACTCCAGGAGAAAAACCATAAAAAAAAAACCCTAAGGCAGTCGTGTCTTTCATCACTTCAGTCGCTCACGCAGTGTATTTAAGGAGGCCATAACACTGGCATAAGTACTGGCTAAATCATTGCTTTTTGGCTGGAATAGATTATGTCCCTGTGAGAGGATAAATGTACTTGGCCAGAGGAGCTGGTGAACTTGAGAAAAGGTTTCTTGGCTCCATTTAGACTCTGATATTTAAACTTGCAGGGGGGGTGTAGCACCTGTATTTTAAAGAAGTTCGGTAACCAGGAGAAACAGCTGCTTCATGCCACCCACCAGAACTCTGCAGTCTGAGCAGTAACTGTAAACATGCTTGCTTTCCCCCTTTTTTTCCTCTTAACTACCATTGCATATTACAGACAGGAAATAAAAACACCCAGGAAGTCAAAACAAAATAAAAAAAACATGCAGCACTTAGACAGCTAGATTTATTACACTAGATTAAGGCTATAACTTAAGAGAAACAAAGGACTCAGAACACTCCTCCCATTTCTCACCCCTTTGAGTGTCTAGTGGCTGAACATACTTGTATTCTTTAGCTGAATGCTCTGGTCCTGTATAGTTTATTAAACTGGAAATACCCTTGGTTACACAGTGGCTCAAACCCTGGCTTGAAGTCTGAGGAGACACACGATTGTTCAGACTAACAATGCTTGGCTCTCCAATTCCAGTTCAAAGCTCGCTCATGAAATTCAGTTACGTTGCAGTTATAAAACACAGGGACAGATGACTACAGCATACAAGCAAGCAAAAACTGTCAAGTGCTTTCTGGCTGACTTCACACTACTGTTCTGTGCTTTGCAAACGTCTTTGTATGGGAAGAACTGTAATTATCAGTTCAAAAAAAAAAAAAAACACCAAACACCATTTTATGATTGCTAAACTTTAAACTGCCTGATCTGACTTATATTGTTTATGAAAGAGCATTTATCTAGTCACTACCATAGTTAAAATGATTTACTAGGACCATGACACTAAGGATTTCCATGATATTAGCTTATTAAAACACCTTCTCAAGTAGACAAAATTAACTGAAATTGTTTCCTCAGTGAATTTTCTCCAAGTTTTCAACAAACACCCTAGAAGTAGAAAAATAACAAGAAATAAGATATTGCTATTGTTGTTAAGGTTGTGAAGCACTCTTTGGCCATCTTCATGCAGGACAAAACATGCAACTTCTGCACTGTGGTTACTACAAGAAGTCCAAGTGCTTAAAACAAGAAAATAAATATAAAAATGGGACAGATGTCTCAATAGCTTTCCTCTGACCTTTCCTAAGGAAAACACTTTTGATTTTAATAATACACTATTAAAAATTTCTTGAACTTCACTAATTTTTTACGAGATGCTTAAAATACTGCAGATGATTTGAACTTTTTTTTTTTTTAGTTAGGTTATTTTTTAGTTACTCAGTTATGTGTTTATATTTATTATGGCACTCTTTTCTTTTTTCTTGGTTTTCCTACTGCCTAAGGACAAAACCTAAACATCTGAGACTAAATACATCTCTCTGAACGCAACTAAATTTTTTTACAGATTCATCATTTCTTCATAAGGGATTTCTCTGAATAAAACAGACAGGAAAAATACAGCTCCATATCATCATCAACAAATAGCCCCTGAAGTTCAGAAATCATCACAAGTGGCTCAAAATGTGAAGAAATTAAGTTGTAACAGTCCTAGAAATTTTTGTTCATGTGTTTCTTACACTTATGTTATATTGGAGACATTTTGTTTCATTTTAATGCTAAGTAGCTTTTTCTGTTAGATAGAAACAACTTATGTATTCCCAGAAAGGTAAAATGGTGCAGTTTTGGTTAAGCTATGAAAACTGAGAAATTTGAGTTACAAATGCTAGAAACTCTCTGGCCTGTCTGTCTCAAGTGTATTCCCTAATAGAGTTACTGACCTAAACAGTGCTGTTGTTGTTGTTGTTGTTTTTAACCTACTTATGCTACAGCAGAGTAACTAATAACAACTGACTCCAACTACTTTCTCACCTATTTTTTTTTCCTATATTGTTTGAAACATGCTATGTATGCATAGTAAAACAGCTGATCAATTTTCAAAGAATGGCTTGAATTGGAGGGAGCCTTAAAGATCATCTAGTTCCACAGTCCTGCCATGTCCAGGGTTGCCAATCACTGGATCAGGATGCCCAAGGCTCCAACAAACCTGGCCCTGAGTACCATTTCAGGTGTGTAGTGTATCAGCTGATCCAGATCTCCCATGGCTAGTAAATATAAAGCAATGAATTGAACATGTTGTACTGGCTGCTCATGTACCTACAGATATTGGACGTACAGCTAGGTATACGTACCTAATAACCCTTGGACTTGTTATTAGTCCAGCTAAGATTTCCTCTATTCACGTGCAGTAACTGTTTACCTGACATTACCGCACAAGTGGTAGCAAAAACGTAACTCAAGGGTAGTCCAAGAACATCAAAACACACTGCTGCAGGATAAGAAAAAAAAAAAAGAAAAAGAAATGGGAAGAAAAAAAAAAAAGAGAAAAGAAAAAAAGGAGAAGCTGAGAAGTGAAAGAAAAAAATTCCAGGTTTTTTATTTTATTTTTTTTTAATAATTGTAACCACTTTTGTGTTAGCAAAACAAAATCAGCAGGAGGTACAGAGGGACGACCCAAATTTTAACAGCTTACTGAAACCTATGACAAACCTCTCTTTATACCTGAAGTTGATCCTTAACCTGAAGTTATTTACAAGCTTGTTTCATGAATTTTCTAATGATCCCTTGTACTATTACATTATACGTGGCCATTAGAACTGTCACTCACAATAGGCAGAATGCAAAATGCAATAATCACTTGAAAGTTCAAGAGAAAACAAAGCACCTCACATTTACTTTGTGCCCCTAAATAACCCACTAAAACTAGAGCAAAACATCACAATAGCACATACGATATTAGAAAGTATTAAAAAACAGTATATATATACAGTACACCATGTACCTATCTGTTCATTAAAAAACAACTCACAGAACAGGTCTTAAAAGCCTGTACTTTTCAGCATCAACAATTGGCAATAAGCTTGTGATTTAGAGATTGAAACGTTGCTCACTATTCTATGCACAAACTGTTTTTGAAATGAGGAAGTTTGATCATTCAGCTTCGGAATAGCACAGGTTCTTATTAAATTAATGAAAGGGTTACTAAACTACTGTATTTTCCACTTGTTTAATATTACTGAAAAGGACGTCACTCACTTCTAGATCACCTTTTTAAAAGGAATAAGTAACATGCAATTTTAAATAAAATATCACTATAACAAGAATACTTTGTTGCATAACACAGCATTGATGACAATTGGGCCAGTTTTGGTCCAGAAAGTCAAAGTGTATTTGGACAGTATTTCGTACAATAATGTAATCTTATTTTCTGTTGACATCTCCCTTCTGATTTCTCACATCACATTTTATTTTTTCAGATGCTGAATTTTCCTTTTAGTGTAGCCAATCTTTTAAGCATCATGTCAGCAATTAAATGTGTTTAGTACAACATTTGAAATAGCTATTTTACAACTGTTTGGATGACTGATTTTTAGTTTACCTTACAGAAGACATGCAGTGCTCATAGGCATTCTATGTTGTTCTTTATTGCGGGGAAGAAAAATCCCCACAAGTCAGTTTTTTTGTTTTGATTTTTCATAAATAAAAGCTATAGGAAGTTTT